CCCCCCCCGCCCTCCACACAATGCTGCCGACTTTGTAATTCTCTCCTTATATCTCAGATAGTGACCTCAGACATAATGGCACACATCAAAGACACCGTGGTGTTTGATCTCCTGGCCGTAATCACCATTTCCAACTGTCCTCGAGGTAGTGGCTTTATGACAATTTGATGCGTTACAATAATCTGATGCTCTGGATTGCTATATGTTTGCTGTGTTTTATATATAGAATTATATATATGTTTATTGCAAGTTTTGAAGAAAATAAATTGCTACCACCTGCACTTTTAATTTTAATTTCAAATTCTTTACACTTCTACTGAACTTTCAAATAAACTAAACTATTTGATAGTTTACCTTACTTAACATTTGAAGACTTTCTGTGATGAAATAAGATGCTAACATACCTGCCTTAACAGCTGTGTCCATCTTGTGCCTACGTAAGGCGTTTTCTGTTTACTGTTGAGACATGATGTACACACCAGTAGAAGTTTGTCAAAACAATGGGATTTTCGTTTTAGCATTGTTTTAATTGAAAATTAGAGACAATTTCATTCGGAGACTGTATCCCTGATCCTTCCCCATACAAATCGGTTTCCCATTCTCACTGGTAGTGTTCAATACTAATGCGTTGAAGCTGTTAACTTGTCTTTATGGTTTAAACATAAGTTAAGTGGACATTTACTGGCAAGCAAGACAGAAGATTTCATTATCAATGATAATTCAAAGTGGAATGAAAGCTATCTGTGGAATCAAGTCATTATTACTAAGTTACATGCTTTGAAACTAGAAAGATTGGTCTGGAGCAGTTGAACGTGCTTTGTGCAGGAATTCAGCTCTGAGGAATCCAGACCTGCAGGTCCGTTGTCGAGTCTTGGCCACAACTCTATACTACATTGACTATGGTGTACACTGAGGTCCATATACATTTTCCAGCTATGTACATGCTGTTTCAACACCAGGTCCAAGTATTTTTTTTCAAATAAAAAGTCAATGTGAAAAACTATTTTATTCCTGTAGGAAGACTGTCGTATGTAGTAAAATGGGTTCTTACATTTTTCCACTTGTAAACATTTTGTTTCCATGCAGTTTTCCAAAATATTTTTTCTAATTAATACCTTGTTGACACATCAGTTTGTATGGATAACTGTGAACAAAACACCATTTAAAATCACAATAAGCATGTGCTGTTTCTACTGGTCTATCAACCATTTCTATCCTGAAATAAGCCCCCTTTTCCTAATGGGAAATTTCGTTACTGAACTTTGGAGAGGGCTTTTTTGTGACACACATATATTGAAGATTCTGCCAAACGATGAGGTATGGGTTTATTTGAGGGCATAGGCTTATTTCTGGATAAATATGGTACAGATAATGAAAAACAGGCTGATCTTACCATGATGATGTGCTGCTTCTACTAGATGGGCTCCGGACTTGAGATTCGGACACACTTCCGATACGTGAGGCGGCATGGAGAGGCTCTGGTTTCTCCGACGACTTGCCTTGCATTCGCTGGCGACACAGATCCTGGGGGACATAAAAATGTGACATTATGTACTCCTGACCGGGAATCTTTAATCCTTATTGGAATGTCCAGGAAAGTTGCTTATGAAAGAACCAATTGTGTGTGTACATACACATCCACTGAAACAACATACCCCAATTAAGTCAGTTTCTCTGCTGTGTCTGGTATAAAGATTTGCATTAAGATACGTACATTAACATACAGCATAACTATAAGAATTATCCTCAACCTTCTCACACATACAACCAATTTACCAATTTCCTTTCTTTCATGTGATGTATTTTCCCCCCCACATATTTACAGGTTACAATATTGAAACTTTATTTCAAAAAATAACATGTCAGAAGATATTGGGATCCATCCAGCATTAAACAAGAGGCCCAATGGGCCTGCATCGCTCACCTGGTATTAATCTCGATCACACTTGTAATCTTAAAAGTGGACTAAAATACAGTTACAGGCAAAATATCAGTGTTTGACTCATAAGAACCTATTAAAGACTTAAACATATGACGCCTGTGACCTTGAATGTCGAACAAGGACATTATAATATTAGGTTGAACATGAACAGAGTTTATAGTCTTCCAACCCAGCATGCTTATTGAAAAATATCATTACCCTGGACCTTTTGGTTATACAGAACAAATCATTTTAAGATTTAAACATATATTGACCACTGTGACCTTGAATATGGGCGAAGGTCATTCACTTGGTGGTCCTTCATCCCAGCATGTTAATGGCCAAATATCATCCCCTTTGGCCTTTTGCTTATTAAGGAAGAAGTCATTCAATGGTTTTAAACATATTTGACCCCTGTGACCTTAAAATATATATGACAAGGTCATTCATTTGAACTTGGTAGTCCTTCATCTCAGCATGTTACTGGCATTATCCTAGGCCTCTTGGTTATTCAGAAGAAGTTGTTTAAAGGTTAAGAATATATTTGACCCTGTGACCTTGAAAAAAGATGAAGGTCATTCATTTGAACAAACTTTATAGCCCTTCATCCCAGCATGCTACTAGCCAAATATCATCAACCGAGGCCTTTCGGTTATTCAGAAGAAGTTGTTTAAATGTTTAAAACATATTTGCCCTCTGTGACCTTGAGTATAAGTCAAGGTCATTTTTTTTAACAAACTTGGTAGCCCTTCATCCCAGCATATTACTGCCCAAATATCATCACCCTAGGCCTCTCGGTTATTCAGAAGAAGTTGCTTAAAGATTTTAACATATTTGACACCTGTGACCTTGAAAATTGATGAAGGTCATTTATTTGAACAATCTTGGTATCCCTTCATCCAAGCATGCTTCTGGCCAAATATCATCACCCTAGGCCTTTCGGTTATTCAGAAGAAGGTGTTTAAATGTTTAAAACATATTTGCCCTCTGTGACCTTGAGTATAAGTCAAGGTCATTTTTTTTAACAAACTTGGTAGCCCTTCATCCCAGCATATTACTGCCCAAATATCATCACCCTAGGCCTCTCGGTTATTCAGAAAAAGTTATTTAAAGGTTTTAAACATATTTGACCCCTGTGACCTTGAAAATTGATGAAGGTCATTTATTTGAACAATCTTGGTATCCCTTCATCCAAGCATGCTTCTGGCCAAATATCATCACCCTAGGCCTTTTGGTTACTGAGAAGAAGTTGTTTAAAGTAAAAAGTTGACGCCGGCCGGACGCCGGACGTCGCACCATGCCATAATCTCACTTGGCCCCTCGGGCCAGGTGAGCTAAAAATACTGCATACTCGTATACCAAATATTTTTAGGCAATTCTGATGAGACACAATTTAATAAGCATATCCTTCTACTTATAGAATGATATTATCATTAAAACAAAAGTGAATAAGCAAAGAGAAACAAGTTTGGCAGGTAAAATTGAGGGAGTTAGACACATTTTTGGCAACATTCCCGCTAGAATGTGCGGAACACTGAATCTTTCTATGGAATGGTGAGTAATTATCTCCTGTTCAAGGTTCGGCCATGTTTTATGATGTGTGAGGGGATTGCATGTTAGTTGTCCATACTACAGAACAAATCTGTGAGGTGTACACGATCAGCATGACATCCTCCACCAGAGCAGCCAGGCGTCCTTCCCAGGCTGTGCTCTGGGAGCCCGTATCGTCCCGGAGATACCGCCGACTCCGAGACCACGAATCATACACACATGTGAAATTACAGACCATTTAATCATAGCCATGTTTGTCTCTGATCAATTCTCCTGCAGAACAAGAACAAGTAATTGCATTTATTCAAAGAGTAACAAAACCCTTCATGAAATCTCAATTTCTTGCCGGATAATTTTTAAAGCAGTTTTTATATGACTTCCGTGCACTGGAGCCATGAGTAAGGAGACTTGTAAAACAACTTCGACTTGACACGAGGTGTAACAGATGGGTACTACACACAGAACAACTTTCCACGTTACAATACAATTATGTTACAAGAAGACGGATCATGAGCGATTGAGACAATTACTTTTAAATCAACTATTATAAGATATTGCTAGTGGTTTATTGGTGAAGTACACAGCTCTGTCGTTCAGGAGAATGTTCACATATGTAAATTCACACTTTCATAGGGAAATCGAGACTGAAATAACATTCAAATTTTGACTTTTGTCTAAATTCTCCTTGTTTCGGGTCAGTTGGATCTGACGTATCTGCCAATATTACAATGCTATTTAATTTCCTGTTAATTGTCTTATCCTTGACCTTACTAATGACACAATATCCTTGACCTTACTAATGACACAATATCCTTGACCTTACTAATGACACAATATCCTTGACCTTACTAACTTTAACAGGAGACATACCTCCTGCCCCCTTCAAAGGCTTTGACACCAAGGACAACATTATTTCATTAACCCTTTCACCCCTAGGTAACTTGAGTAGACTCTGCCATACATTCATCTGGATGAGTCCATGATGGTCAACAGTGGTGAAAGGTTAACTACAATTCTCTTGTAAAGCTCATACTAACTACATGAAACACAAGTTGGTCACACTGACACAACTGTAACAGGACAGGGAACATGCAACTCAAACCTAGAACCCAAACCTGGGACTCAAACCTGGGATCCAAACCTGGGACCCCAACCTGTGATCCAAACCTGGGACGCAAACCTGGGACCCAAACCTGGGACTCAAACCCGTGACTCAAATCTGGGACCCAAACCTGGGACTCAAACCTGTGTTTTCTGAACTCCAGATGGACAGGCCTAAAAAACATTGGATGGCTTGCATTGAATTGGTGGCACATTGAATAGCTCACTAGCCTTTCAGCAAGACAGCCGGGGAAAAGGTATTGGATCACATGCCTGACCACATGGGTTTTCTTTGGGTACTTTAGCTTTCCCCCTCATACACTCTTTGCTCACATTCAGTAAAACAAGAATGAGTAAATGCAGTTAACAAAGTTGGAAGAACTTGTATGAAATATTTTGTCATTTAACTTTATTATCAAGCAATTGAGCTGCTATCTTGTCACCAGTATTCATCTAGCAGTGTGGTGGCTGCTAGTCACTATCCTAAATGTGGCTTTAGCACCATTACTACAGCATCCAGCAGTGTGGTGGCTGCTAGTCACTATCCTAAATGTGACTTAAGCACCATTACTACAGCACCCAGCAGTGTGGTGGCTGCTAGTCACTATCCTAAATGTGGCTTTAGCACCATTACTACAGCACCCAGCAGTGTGGTGGCTGCTAGTCACTATCCTAAATGTGACTTTAGCACCATTACTACAGCACCCAGCAGTGTGGTGGCTGCTAGTCACTATCCTAAATGTGACTTTAGCACCATTACTACAGCACCCAGCAGTGTGGTGGCTGCTAGTCACTATCCTAAATGTGACTTTAGCACCATTACTACAGCACCCAGCAGTGTGGTGGCTGCTAGTCACTATCCTAAATGTGACTTTAGCACCATTACTACAGCACCCAGCAGTGTGGTGGCTGCTAGTCACTATCCTAAATGTGACTTTAGCACCATTACTACAGCACCCAGCAGTGTGGTGGCTGCTAGTCACTATCCTAAATGTGACTTTAGCACCATTACTACAGCACCCAGCAGTGTGGTGGCTGCTAGTCACTATCCTAAATGTGACTTTAGCACCATTACTACAGCACCCAGCAGTGTGGTGGCTGCTAGTCACTATCCTAAATGTGACTTTAGCACCATTACTACAGCACCCAGCAGTGTGGTGGCTGCTAGTCACTATCCTAAATGTGACTTTAGCACCATTACTACAGCACCCAGCAGTGTGGTGGCTGCTAGTCACTATCCTAAATGTGACTTTAGCACCATTACTACAGCACCCAGCAGTGTGGTGGCTGCTAGTCACTATCCTAAATGTGACTTTAGCACCATTACTACAGCACCCAGCAGTGTGGTGGCTGCTAGTCACTATCCTAAATGTGACTTTAGCACCATTACTACAGCACCCAGCAGTGTGGTGGCTGCTAGTCACTATCCTAAATGTGACTTTAGCACCATTACTACAGCACCCAGCAGTGTGGTGGCTGCTAGTCACTATCCTAAATGTGACTTTAGCACCATTACTACAGCACCCAGCAGTGTGGTGGCTGCTAGTCACTATCCTAAATGTGACTTTAGCACCATTACTACAGCACCCAGCAGTGTGGTGGCTGCTAGTCACTATCCTAAATGTGACTTTAGCACCATTACTACAGCACCCAGCAGTGTGGTGGCTGCTAGTCACTATCCTAAATGTGACTTTAGCACCATTACTACAGCACCCAGCAGTGTGGTGGCTGCTAGTCACTATCCTAAATGTGACTTTAGCACCATTACTACAGCATCCAGCAGTGTGGTGGCTGCTAGTCACTATCCTAAATGTGACTTTAGCACCATTACTACAGCACCCAGCAGTGTGGTGGCTGCTAGTCACTATCCTAAATGTGACTTTAGCACCATTACTACAGCACCACCAGCTGATTTGCTATAGAATCCTTTGACCTTGAAGAAACTGGACCATTTATTTTGATGTGTTTTAAATCTTGCAAAATTGGACCAATGCTTTACAAACAATTGATCAATGTCTTTGCTATAGCTGATCACACATTCTGATAGTATTTCCCCATAGAACCTTAATAGCATGTAGAGATGAAATGCATTCTCAGAAACTATTCCGAACACCTCATCAAATGGTGATCACTCAAATCTACTTGTCCATATATCCGGGACCATTATGTAATTTCTGAGACTCATTCACCCCTACATTTTTAAAATGGACTTGTCCAGTGTTTGATTTGGTAAGGTTTAAATGTGACTTTAGGGGTGTATGAGTTAAACACTGCATATTGGTAAGATCTAAATAGAGGTACTGCAACAAGTGACTATCTAAATAGAGTTTGTTAAATTTTGAATTTTAAAAAGAAGGCCTTTTTTTTAGATTGAAAGAGATTTTCCTTTTTTGAAATATAAAAATAACTAATGAAATACATATTAACAGTCACTCTTGGTCCATGATTTGGGTTTAGTTGGGTTTAGCTCTTCCTTTGGGATTGCATGGTAACTTGGTTGTCCTTGAATGCCTTTGTGTTATCTCCCCTGATCACTATAATACCTATACACAGGTAAACTCTACCTGGTTGTCCTCGAATACCTCTGTGTTATCTCCCCTGATCACTATAATACCTATACACAGGTAAACTCTACCTGGTTGTCCTTGAATGCCTCTGTGTTATCTCCCCTGATCACTATATTACCTTTACACAGGTAAACTCTACCTGGTTGTCCTCGAATGCCTCTGGGTTATCTCCCCTGATCAGTAATATACCTGTTCAAGGTAAATTTTACCTGGTAGTCCTTGGTTACCTCAGTGGTATATCAATTTGACCTGTTCATAGGTAAATTTTACCTTGTAGTCATCTTATGTTTCCAGTTACCTCCCCTTATTCCGTAATTATACCTGTACTCAGGTAAACTTACCTGGTAGTCCTTTGATGCCTCCGTATTGTCCCCATTGGCAGACAGCTGGGCGAGTTTCTCCTTGGACTTGCTGTAGCGTCGGATAAGATAGATGACCACGACAGCCAATAATATACCAGCAATACATCCGCACAGGACGAAGGTCAACACGAAGTACCGGTCATCTGGTGGCTTCACTTCAACCTGGTTCTGAAATATACAACAGGTGTGAATCTTTAGTTTTATGTACATGTATTTAAATGTCATTGACACTCTGGACTAAATCCAAGGATCTACTCAACAACTTCCATCTAGAGAAGAAAAAAAAGCAGAACTGATAGATATACAGTATATAGATAAATAGATATTTTAATTTCAACCCGAAAACTCATGCAGTGATTGAAATAATTGAAGCGTTATTTAAATGAATAAGCAGCATCCATTTCATCAAAAATAACACTGATAATTTTTGATGCATTTTTTAATTTTCCAAAACAGATTCCTCTTAACGCTATTCAAAAGCGTAATTTGATGGAGGCATCATATTACTAATCCAAGTCCCTCATGTCAATAATTTGTATGAAAAACATCATCAAGAATTCAACATTCCTGCAAAACGAAAAAAACTGGATATAATTATCTCACAATGGAGTGTAATTAGCATGTAAAACTGAGAGATTTGATGTGCTAGGTTACAGTATCTGGGCGATCTTGTGAATATCCCAGTTCTATGGTGTGGTAAACGTTACCAGGGATAACATTAAACTTTGTCATGGTAGCATTTTTTTCATCAGGCCTTGGAGATCTGATTCAAGTTGGCTCCATTGTGTTAAAAGTATTGAGGAAAATATGGACTCAGCAATTCCAATTGATTCTCAGGAGAGCTGTGGACCAATTAGGGGCCAAATGAAGGAGGGAACTACTACTTGGTTCAATTCATTGTCGGCTTCCAGCAACAACTCAACACTCTAGCATTACTAATGCTGTGAATACTGACTGCTCCTTTACCAGACAAAGCCTGTGATCAATGATCCTGGGTTGTGGCACATGTGTGTCACACACAACCTGTATATAGCAGCTTCTCCCTATCAAGGCAGCCGATTGGACGGTGTAAGCTGCTTCTCCCTATCAAGGCAGCCGATTTGACGGTGTTAAGTTTTGTGTGTTGTCAGTGAAGGTGACAACTGCATTCAAGTCCATGCAATGTCACACCAATATCATCCCTCATACAATAAATGGCTTACAGTTTAAGTTCCAAGCCTCCCACCGACCCTGAGTTCTTCAGTTTTAATGACAGTTTTGTCCCTGTATATATTGACCATAAACAGTGATATATTACCAACATGAACAAGAACTAGTGTAATTTTAATATCCACAACCACACATTTTTGGTAATCTTTATTTTTACACAAATATACTATCTCCCATTATTTTTACTTCATCCCCTTTTGATTTAATTCTGCCTCCCTCATAAGTCAACCCAGGAGTGTTTTGTTTTGGTTATCTTTAATTTCGTAAGACACATATATACTCTCTTCCATCATAATTACTTCATCCCCTTTTAATTTAATCTTGTTTTCCTCATAAGTCAACCCAGGAATATTTCTTTGGTTATCTGTATATTCATGTGACACCAATATACTATCTCCCATTATAATTATACTACATTCCCTTTTGATTTAACTGTGCTTCCTTCACAAGTCATTTACATTAAGCATTAGACTCAATATTGCTCTGTACTTGACCTTTGCAGAGAAGCACCGCAATCACTCTCCATCATAAACATATGTAAACAGAACATCATGTGAAAAAAACTGTTAAAAGTAATCACCAACCTCATCAGGGAAGATTTTGAGTCCATCACATAAAAAAGAACCATTTTGTATTGATCATATCCATCAAAACCCAATTTCAGCTCATCATGTATAAAAACGGCGTGAAGACCATCATGTATTGATGACTTCTCATTGTCCAATCCTCTCCAATGCTGCAGCTCTCATCTGTTTACAGTGTAACACTTTCGGGGCCCCTTTATCTCCCGGATCAAACTCCCATCATGCCACTGCTCCTAGGCCTGATGGGGCGGCCATTGATCCATCATTGTTAATAGTACATACTTTCAGTAATTATTGATTATTACCCAGGAAATGGGCATTTTCATTGAAAGCTGTAGTACTTAACCAGAAAATGAAAAATGGTTGATTTCTATTGAAATTATCATTAGAGATCATTTCATTTATCCTCCGTCCATTTTTACATAAAGCCCAATCGGCATTTTGTTGCTTGCTATAAACACTGGCGGAGCTGACTGTGATCCCTCACTTCACAAACATTTCTGTGACAGAGATCTGATGAATGTACGTGTGTCAATGTACATCAAGTTTGCAATTACACCCTTTAATGAGGTGGAACATGAACTTTCATCTGTTAATTGGGCGTGATTACTTCCCCTGAAATTCTCTACCAATCAATTTGTGTTCAATGCCAAAGGTTTTCATTTGTTGAATCTGCCAATCAGATTAGTGTGTATAGTACTATGTGATTATTTTACATTATCAACAAAGCAAGAGGTTTGTTCTGTATTCTCTATACCATAACCATACAAATGAGAGTAACCGGCACATTACTGTCAAACTTAGTTCTCAGTTTTGCACAAAATTCTTTAATTATTGTTAACAAGAAATATGATGGTAAAGAAACTGAAAAAAAGAAAGATTTTTAAAGATTTTCTTATGTTGATGGACAGGGGAAGGTAGTAGTAGATGTCTCATGAAATGCAAAAACTGCATGTAGATTGAAAAAATAAGTCCTCTATGAACTCATCTAATCAAACTATTTATCTAATTAGCAACCACACACACACACACACACAAATATAATACTTTATTGAGACAATGTTTTAGGATTTGCTACAGTTTTTACTCCTTTTTTGATTATTTTCAGAATTGTATGAGGCCTGGAACTATATAGTGTAACAGGTACCCGTACCCCACTGCAGACAGGAAAAACAGATGACATTGCGACAATTATGCATGAATGCAAAGTGACAATTTCTGTAGGTCGATACACATGCGACATATAGATTTTTATACCAAATTACTGCTATTTAAACATGTAACTGCACACACACACATACGTGTATATTAACGTACAGCCAGTTTGGGACTGCCTGATACGTCGTGCCCCGACGTAGAACACTGCGATGTGTGACCGTGAAACTCTAATCGAATATCAGCACGTATCCTGGGACCAATGATGATCGGGGAGCACAGAATAATTTGATTAAACCTCATGTTGTCACCCTGGTTCTACCATCGCCGGTATCGGGAGGTCGCATAATTTCATTTCTACAGTTTCAACTAGATGCTTCAGAACTTGGAACATACCGCATTTGGTTTTTATAAGGTCCCCGAGTCTGTGTAATTGAGAGAATCCTAAATATTATTTCTAACCAGGCATATAATATCCTGATTATAAATGGCGATTGTGTTCTGATGCATCATCCCCTGGTGTTACAATATATATAGGAATGAAATATCATTCCATCTGAAATTACAAAGTACTTACCAAACCAATTATAAGTGTAAGACAGCTTTTGTGACAAAGATTATTGAAGACTGTCAATGCTGGCACTTAGACAGCACAGCCTGTAACTATAGAGGTATAGCTGTAACTGCTGGGGTCGAGACGGTCTTGACAGCCTGTAACTACAGAGGTATAGCTGTAACTGCTGGGGTCGAGTCAGTGTTGACAGTCTGCAACTATAAAGGTATAGCTGTAACTGCTGGGGTCGAGTCAGTGTTGACAGCCTGTAACTATAAAGGTATAGCTGTAACTGCTGGGGTCGAGTCAGTGTTGACAGGCTGTTACTACAGAGGTACAGCTGTAACTGCTGGGGTCGAGTCAGTGTTGACAGTCTGTTACTACAGAGGTATAGCTGTAACTGCTGGGGTCTAGTCAGTGTTGCCAGTCTCTTACTACAGAGGTACAGCTGTAACTGCTTGGGTCGAGTCAGTGTTGACAGTCTGTTACTACAGAGGTACAGCTGTAACTGCTGGGGTCGGGTCAGTGTTGACAGTCTGTTACTACATAGGTATAGCTGTAACTACTGTGGTCGTTGTCGTGAGATAACAGCCTGTAACTGCTGTGGTCGTTGTCGTGAGATAACAGACTGATAAGTGCTGAGTAACGAGGGTGCCTACATCTCCATTGTGGACAACACAGAAATCACCACTTTACAGAGGAAACTGTGAAATCAATAGAGTTATTCAATTCCCTTTTATTTAGTTAATGACTGTCAGGCAGTCGATGGCTGATGACCACTGGTCAGGAAGCTCGGGCCACATCCTAATTATCATCATGTGGAGGTGACAGCAGGACAAATCACACAGTCCAATTCAGGCTGTGCCAAGTTAAGTTTTTTGTGGCGAGATCCATTAGCCAGGCCGGGCCAAGATGTATTTTTGTTGCGTAGTCAGATTCATGCAACTTGTTAGATTTGATATAAAATCAAATAGCCAAATTAAATTGTGTTATATGTAAACTCAGGCCGTCAAATAAAAGAATCTGTTATTTACTTTCTTCAAACATTGATTCTTTTTGACAATTTTTGTAGCTAATATATCTGTAATGTCGTCTGAGCACTATATATATATATAAAGCCTGATCAGCACATCACAAGTTTGGCCTGGCCTGAATGTCTATTGTTCCTGTCCGTGATTGGACACCTTCCATTATAACCACACGATGTCCCCTAACAACCATGCCATACAATTGCCCTAATTCAACAATAGCCAATTACCTCCCCAACTTCCACTTAAACCTCCCTCTTTCATCAACTCTCCATTTTGCTCACCCGATTTAGATGTTCCTTAAGATCTTAGACGCACAGCCATGTTTGAATACTAAGCTTGGCAAAGGACATGTTTAATATTCTCAGGATGCAAGACAAACCCTTGGGCTACTGTCATTTGCAATTTAGAGGAGCTTTGAGGAGCGCTGATAGAGAAAAGTCCATTAAGGATGACGAGGTGGCTGGCACATGAGGCCGGGTGTTCTGTAGGGGGGAGCTTGGTCTAATCCCTGCTGCTACACAGGATTTAATCAGATTGATGCAATGTGGAAAAGCTCCGGTGTAGAAAAATGGGTACAAAAACAAATTATAAGAAAAAACTGGGGCTTTTTGTAGTTTTAGGCTTGCATTTACTCCT